GCCAAAATTAGGCCGTGGCCACACGGTACGTCGGTATTCAAATTATGTACGTGCGACAGAGATGTTGCGACTAAATAACACCTGAGTGGGTTGATGAAATGTTTCAACGTGTTCTGGTTAATAGGCTGCGTACATTGTTGATTGAATGGTTGTTGGAGAAGGTCACGACACTTCGGTGAGCCTAGAGGTACAGCAAGTACTTTTGAATGCTCTAAATTGGAATTTTTTAGTTCATTCCGGCATCCAATTTGTTGAATGCGATATTAATACATCCTCTTTTAGATATATTTTAAGCATAATTAACGAAAACTGGTTAAGTATAATTTATTTATGCTTTAAGTTTAGCGCTATAGGGGTATTGCTTTCAGACAACACAATCAATGATTTAAACATTTATCATTGAACATTAATACTGCCTTTAACTGCCCATTGATAAGCTTAGGCCTCTTACCACACGGAGAAGGTTTGAGTATTAATTACCATGCTTTCTCAAGGCGATTTCAAGCTTATAATCTGGACTGATAAGTCCATATTTCCTCACGATGTTTTCCTTTGCCGTATATCATACATATAACTCGGCTAAACTAACATTGGCACTTGCCAGGTTTCAAAGCCTCCGGGCCACCACGACGTTGAACAATATCACATATTTCATATTCATACGATCCAATCACACGCGTGCGACAAAACAAGTCTTACAGTCTTTGCGTCTGCGCACGCCCTTACATCTTATTTATACTCGAATTAAACCACATTCTTAGGCAAGTATGCAACATGAAATAATGATATAAATAATAATTAGTCTGAGATTCCTGCTCGTTACCTTGCTTGTCTTGTCACCATCAGCTGTGATGGAGGTCTACGTATCCTCCAAGTTTCGAGAATTTTCTTTTGCGCCTTCATGCTCCTTTGTGGGGTTTCTTTGGCTTTGTTGTGATAATTGTGCCAGTTTAAGCTTCCCAAATAACATTTATTTTACGAATACGTATTTTACTACCATTTGTTTCCAAGAAACGATGACATTAGGATTATAATACTAGCTTCCGCCCTCGGCTTTGCCCGCTAGGTAGTCTATGTCCTATTTCGGAGTGTATACTATGCCTGTGCCAATTTTCATCCAGATCCGTCCAGCCGTTTTGGCGTGATTGAGTAACAAACATCGAATCATTGTAACTTTCGAATTTATAATATTAGTCAGATTTGCTTATTATTATTATTAACATTAAGTTAGTAAGTACTTGATTCCAGAGCAGTAGTTACTTCTACAATGGATTTATTATAACCAACACTTATACATCGTAACTCAGTAATCCATCGAGGAACTTAAAACCAAGTGTAGTTACATTAGCATAAGAAACACGATTCAATTTTGAATATCAACGAATAACATCATTATAGTGCAGGAAGTGTACGCCTAACTGTCCTGAATGTTATGTAAGCACTAGATCTAGGAATCTAGGTTCAGCCTAGTGCTCAAGTATTGCCTGGCCGGTGACCAGTTTGTCAACTATTAATGGTTATTATAGTTAATCATTGACTAATGGAAAACTTGATCGATTCCCTGATTTTATAAAGATTAAGTAAGTGTGTTGACTTATTAGATCTTGATATTACTAGCGCTCTAATGAAGATCGTCAGTTAAAATCACAGTTATTGACGTCACAGGTAAGGCTTTAACAGATTTACACCGATAGAAAGTTTCAACGTACAACTGTTTGGCAGTAGCTCGCCAGGCAGCCAGGCATAACTTTGCCTCTACAGCGAATCCTCCTTTTCCCATCGTAGGGAACTTCACTCTTCACAAAACTACATCTTTGAACCCATATGGTGCTGACTGCTGACAGCAGAGTAGAAAATCTACATTTCTTTCATACACAAGCCGTAAGAATGATAGGTAATAATAGTCGTGACTGGATTCCTTGGAATGCCATGCCTACGGAATTGTTCCGTGTAATGGATAAAAAACTGGACACTAGAACTTTCTGCTACCTCCAACCTGCTACTTCCAATGTGGGAGAGCCATGCTTCGGCACGAATGGGCTGGCTTAACCGTAGTGATACCACGGCCTCATAGAATACCGGTGTAAAGCTATACGTTGTGGGTGAGGTTACTGGAGGCCCAATCCTTCCCCCAATTCTTACTATCAGGTAATTCGTCTTCTCTTTTGCTTAGTGTACAGTTTTTAGAACTTATCATTGTAACAGTCTTATTAAATTCACCCCAAGATACAGGCCTCGCCTAATTTGGGGACCGCTATTCCAAAAAGATGTCCGCTAACAACACTAAGTTACAACAAATAATTGTACCTAATAGTAATTAAATTTTGAGGCAAATTTTTGTACCAGTGGATACATTCATTTTATAATTAAAAAATATTGTGTAAGTATAATAAAATAGTTACGTGTAACTATTTAAATTGAATTCTGAACTAGTCTGGCAAAGCCTAATTGAAAACTTATTGCAATCAAGCTGTCTTTTGTTTTTTACCTAGCTATTTTTTATTCCGGGTAACCGAACCTACGATCTCAAGGTTGACAATTATTTAAACCATTAATGAAGTCAGATAGATTATGTTAACGTAAAATATTTTGTTTCTTTAACAATGTTTAACTATGTAGGTAGGTATTAATAGTTTTTTTTTTAACTTGAAATATTATGTTTTTTTGTGCGTTGTCGACCTTTTGGGGATAGGAGTTGCGGATATATAGTTCTGTAAGGGATAAGGGAATGGGAGTAACCTCACTCACACGGCGAAACACAACGCTGTGGGTTGTTTCATGCCAGTGTTCTGTGAGGCCGTGGTATCACTCCGGTCGAACCGACCCATTCGTGCCGAAGCATGGCTCTCCCACACTTATTGTATATTGTATATTATAACTGAGTCGTGATTTTCCAACATTTTTGTGATGTTTTCCCTAACCTCTGAATTTATACTGTACCTTCTATCAGGTTCTTTATTTGCGTCTCTCTCATGCTTGCCTCTTGACTCGCACACGTCTAAAAAATCAGTATGTTTTCGGTATCATGTAACCTTTTTAGAACCCCTGGCTTTACAGCTTGGCAGCTTTTCTGCGTGATATTTCGGAAATTAACTATTATTACATCTTTTTAAAGTTTAAAACAGATATTATCAGTAACGTTCAAATAAAATATTTTTAAGCATACAGGAAGATAAAATCTAATTGTTACAAATAAAATTATACATTTCGAAACGTTCCGTAATTCTCTAATAACGGCCGTCTTGTTTTGTTACGATTAGGATCTTAAACAAAATCGTTTTTGTTAGTAAATGTTTCGACACCAATTTTCCATTTACCGCGAGCAATATTACAATATTAATAACACTGTATATATTTATATATATACATATAAAATGTGCAACGTATTATATGTCCGTGTTGATCACAAGGCTAAGTTGGGACATTCTCTTGATACTAAACACGGTAACAACAGTAGATCAACGAACTATAAAATGCAGACAAGTTTTTTTCAAGACTATATTGGATTGAATGCAAATTTTGACAAGGCTTCCATTTCCATCATACTCAATCTCCTGTATAAAGTAATGTGTCACTTTTACCATAAAATGTTGATTGCGATGGGAAAAAAAGTTCCTATTATTTAATTGTCGAACTACCAAAGTAAGTAGAATGACATATTAAGTCAAGGGTTAACGTTGGAGGTCTTACTTAATCTTGTAAATGCGAAAGTTACGATGTTTGAATGTTTGTTACTCAATCACTCCAAAATGGCTGGACGGATCTGGATGAAATTTAGCACAGGCATAGGATACACTCCGGAATAGGACATAGGCTACTTTTATCAACATACCACGCGGGTGAAGTCGGTGGCGGAAGCTAGGCAAATATAAATCTCTCGAGCCATTTTATGGATCCCTGAACATTTTGAGTCCATGGTTCTAAGATTAAATGATAAATGATAATAGATAAATGATTTAGGTCTCTACAGGACTGTAAATACTTATGTGACTCTTGTTATCGAAAATTGGAGATATTGAAGATGTTGAAATAAAAGTTCAATATTACCTAGTTGACATACTGCATGTTTAATGTTTACACTGTACTGTAGGCGGTAGGCTTCGCGCCGGAGTTTCTTGTAGCATTACTTTGCCGAAGGAATTTGATACAAAAAGTGTACCTACAGCTAGCTAGCAAATAATTTGAAGTATTTTTCCTACTACAGATCTGGATGGCGTCACAGTATTATATTAATTGCGCCTATATGCCCTTTTTATTTTCTCTGTAACAGCGTAAAATCTAAATTTAATCGTAAAATAAGAAATAAAAAATGACTTCCGGATCAGATCCTCCCAAATCACATCGTTAAAAGCATCACACAGCATTCCGTAAATTTAATTTTCACTTCCTACTTTTGTTAAGCGGGTGTTTTTTAATGACCTTAACATACCAAAGATATACAAATGTCATAACCAAATTACAATTTTATAATTAAAAAGACCTCATAAACTTTAATTTACACAATAAAACGACTTTATCTCGGCTAAAGATATGATTTTTTTTATAAAACCATCAATTACGTGTACCAGTTTAACGCAACGATACCGCTCTTGCAAGATCAAGGTCACGGTTAATTTTAACTGAAATAACTTAACACTGTGTTCTTTGTAATAACTTTTACTGCGTAACTTTAACTGAGTTTCACGGTTTACGAAGACAATAACCTGTATTGTTTTATTCTAATTCTAAAATATGTTCAGTTTTATTTTCTGTATTAAACTAAACATGAAACACAATGAAATGATTGGTTTGTCTATAAGTAACGTAAAGATTCATGTAACAACCACATCTCCTTTTATTGTATGCCCTAGCTGATAACTGTTGACGTGATAAAGTGGTTTTATGGCCTATTTGCAAAAATAAAGTCATTGTTTCATTGATACCATTTTAAATTGTCTTATATGGCCCAAAACGCTACCCTGAGGAACTCCTCTCTACAATACCATATTATTTGTTTCCAGGCCCTGATTCTCTGTGCGGCGTGGTTAGCAGTCCACTGCCAAGGCCCTAACGGTCCCACCACCACTCCAGTACCCATCCTGAAGCAGATCAACCGACAGAACGATGATGGATCCTACAGTTACGGATATGAAGCTGCTGACGGATCCTTCAAGATTGAAACTAAATATCCGAATGGAGATGTCGCTGGAAAGTACGGATATGTAGACGAGAATGGCAAAACTAGAGAGATCTCCTACGGTGCCAGCAGCCAGAGAGGTTTCGAACCCGAAGGTAGGATTGTTGTTGTTTTAGCTGTACTGTTCTTGCATGAATTTTAATATCTTGAGAAATTATATCGAAGGTGTTGAGAAATGTTATGGAATCAGGCTTAGTATTCGGTTTGTGAATTATTTGAAAATTGCCAGTAAGGTATGCCTATTTGGAATCTTAGTAATCTAAAATAGACCGCTTATATCAAAGGAGTGAGGATATGGCCAAAATCTGGTAACTTCGCTTAAAAATACTTTTTCTGGTACAAGTGACGATTTACATAAAAAAAGTAGCTAGTATAAAAATCTTATTACTGCTGCACAGAGCTCTCCTAATTAATGACCACTGGAATAGCTACCGAGTTAGCATAAACGTACCACATCAACAGCTGAGCCTAACTGGAGCGGTTACGCCATCCGTTTCACTGATTTGTCAATACATCATGGTGTAACGCCATGGTGGTCGGACACGGTAGCCGATGGTCATAGCTATATGTGGAGTAATAACAATTGTACTGATATTAGAAAGACATTAAGTTTCTTATAAGAAAAAAGATTATTGCGGCTGTATATTAATACTTATCTACACTTATATTAATATAATAAAGATGAAGAGTTTGTTTGTTTGAACGCGCTAATCTCCGGAACTGCTGGTTCGAACTGAACAATTCTTTTTGTGTTTGTAAGTCCATTTATTGGGGACTATAAAACATCACGCTACGATCTGAAGGAGCAGAGCAGCGGATGAAAAGTAGCTAATTAGAAATAAGATAGGATAAGTGTAATTTAATATGGATAATTGAGGGTGTAAAACATGTTTTCCGACCTACCAAATAAAATAAAAATAAAATACTTGTAACAGAAAAATTATCTTTATCCATTTTGTTTTTATTACCTAAAAAATGCTGGGTTCCGATAACCACAACATAGGCTAGTTATTATCGACTGGCTTTTGCCGGCGACTTAGTTCGCGTGGCATAGTGACTTCCTGCAGATCTTTAGTTTAAATATTATCCTATGTCCTTTCTCGAGTTCCAAACTATGTCTGCACAAAATTTTACACAAATAGGTTCAATAGTTTAGACGTGAAGAGAAGACAGACAGACAGAATTACTTTCCCATATTAAGTTTGGATTTAGTTCTTTCAACAAAAAGGACCAAGATATCATCCATGTGAAAGAACAGATCTTAGACTTACTATTGAGAGCACAAGTCTTGCAACTTTACCTGCCTAGTGCCATCAACCTTCACGCGCTGATAACTGACCTAACTACATAATATTAACTTACCTAATAGTTTAGTTAACGTAACATTGCAACAGTTAACTATTTATTTGATGAGCCTTTAATTTGTAAAGCCCTCTTAACTTTGTTGAATTTGTGGTATTGTTAACGTTATGATGTCTGTCTGTCTGTCTGTATTTTCTTTACGCCTAAACTACTGAACCGATTTCTGTGAAATTTGGTACAGGCATAATTTGGAACTCGAGAAAGACAATAGGATAGTTTTTATACCTAAAATCTGCAGGAAGTACTTGACCACGTGAACGAAGTCGCCAGCAAAACTATTAAATTAATAAACTTTATCTTTTTAACACCAATTAGATACCTTCGACAAAAATAATCGCAACACATACATACATGTCTGAAAATGTCTGTAACGTAGTGGAATTAACATTAGTATAGAAAACAAGACCTTAAGACTTCAAGGAATAATAAGACTGATTACAGACTTACCTGCTTTGGTCGAGGAACAATAAGCCTGTTTTTATTGTAATTAACGACTTACTCACGTGAATTAATTGAGAAAAGCTACAAGTCGCCGCAACGCGGACGCTGCTCGTGAATAAAAGTCCCGTTGTGACTTGAAACTAGTTGAGCTTTTCTCAATTAATACACGCGAGTGGGTCGTTTTTTTGCAATAAAATCATTATGTATCACGATAGTTACTATTCAAAAAAGCCTAAAAACAAAATTACCTTTGTAACTTTTTTCTAAAAATTTGCTTACATTCCAGGACCCGGCATCATGGTGCCCCCACCAACTCTAAACAACCCTCAATCCTCGAACGCGCTCACTGACGGCCAAGAAGACGATGGCCAGTACCGTGAGGACCCTAGCATTTACGAAGATCCAAAGTACAACAGTCGCGCCCAGCCACGACCAGCCCCTATCAGACAGTTCCACCAGCCTGCTCAACCGGCACCTATCAGACAGTATCAACAACAACAACCCCAGTTTGCTCCAGCCCCTACCGCTGCTCCAGCTCCTCAATACCAGCAGCAAAGCCAGTTCAGATCAGCTCCCCTCTATTCCCAACAGACAAGCCTCTTTAACCAAGGTCCTCAACAGTTCCCAGCCCAAAACCAAGATTTCCGTCCCCAAAGCCAGGTGTACCACCAGCAGCCTCAGTTTTCTTATCAGGCGTACACTCCTCAGCCTTACCAGAATTTCCAGAGCCAGAGTTTCCAGCCTCAATACCAACAGCAGCAGTACCAGGGCCAGAATCAGAATTTCAACCCATTCTTTGGCCACCCTGCCCAGAACTTTGACCCCAGCTCTGGGTCTTACTCCATCAACTTTACTGGTTAATTGGTTTAAGTTATTGTTATTGTGGTTTGATGGTGTTAGTTGTAACGGAAGAGTGTTGGGTGGACGAGTCATAGCCATTACTCAAATGAAAATTGGGGGAGGCCTATGTTCAGCAGTGGACGTCCTATGGCTGATATGATGATGATGATGATGACTCAATTGTAATGGAAATATCAGGTTTCATAATTTTTCAATCAAATAATGTAAAGTCCTCTTAACGACAATCTCTGATTTAAGTTATATTAGTGATATTAATACTTAAACGTGAAATAAAAAAAAAAGTGATAAGTACCGTACTTTACAAATAAAATGATTTCTTTGTTATTTCACTGCCAACCTAAGGATATGGATCGTCTATACCAACATTCAAATTTTGTACAAAACATTAGAATAGTGAAAGTGACTCCCGACGTTACGAACGACATTATTTTTTAAAGATTTTGTATAATTTTAGAACTAGTCAATTATTTCAGTGTATTTTATACAATTTGAGGAAAGGAGCTTTAATTATATGCGCTGCGCTAACAACATCCAATTTAATAATTTATTCATATCTTTATTTAGGTACAAACAATAAAATAATTATCATATTATTTACATTTATACTATTTTAAAATTATCTCAACTGTTCTCAAATATTTAAAAGCCTTTTTTTCATAAGTACCTAAGTATATATTATTTTAGTATGTTAAAATGTATGTAGTATGTACCTAACGAACACGCAAAATCTTTGCAAATATAGCTCATTTGAGAAATAAAAGGTAGCATTGTACAGTTACACATATATACTATTACCTATATATAAATAAAACAATACTTTTATCTATTTATCCTTACATTTTATACGATACGCATGTATATTATAATATGTATCTATGCATTATATTATTTTTACATTTTTATTAGTAAAACTTTATCACTTAGGTATTTAAATAAGTATATTCAGTAAAATTGTATATGTATAGGTACTACAAATACTATAAGTATTTGAATCTAACGTTGCTATTGGAACTAAGGCAAAACAGAGCGCCTTCTGCCGTAACGCGACAGGAACGTCACTACACTCGACTCTCTGATTGGTCAGTAAATATCTAGCTGGCCAATTAGAACGCCGAACGTCATAAAATGACGAAAGCAAATTCGAATTATGGTGTGTAGGTTGAGGTAGATAGCTAAAGGTAAATAATCTTGGTATGTCTTTTTATATTAAAGAGGTCGTATATACATAAATATGTATTTTAAGTGTGGGAGAGCTATGCTTCGGCACGAATAGGTCGGCTCGACCGGAGTAATACTACGGCCTCACAGAAAACCGGAGTGAAACAACCACAGTGTGTAGTGTAGTGTGAGTTTACTAGAAGCCCAATCCTTTCCCTCAAAAGGTCGGCAACGCACTCGTAACTTCTCTGTTGTTGCGGGTGTCCATGGTAAAAAAATACATACAAATATTATTTAATAAAAGATTGTAAACATTTTTAGACATAAAATACATGCCATGATTGTTTAAATTTAGTTTATTACCTAAACGATAGACCATAGGCAATCTGTTTAAAAAATATCATAGACAAAACGCACGTGTTTCTTAAATTGAAATTTGTATCAAATCCTGACCAGTTTCATGTTTTCGATAAGTAGATATAAATATGTTTTCAGTAAGTGATGTTTATTTCTGAGATCACTAAGAAAAACACAGTTCGAGTTGACTTTTGAGCGTAAATAAGTGACGTCTACAGTTTGTTTTTTTGCAGTGAGTCTGCAGTCTAAGCTTATATTATGAGCTTATAGCCTTTTAAGGGCTGATTTTTCAATAGTCAGATAATTGTTATCTAAGGAAGAACCTCCTCCTTTTTTGTAAAATTGTTGATGTCAGTGCCTTATACAAACATTCTGACGCGACATCATCATAATTATTCCCCAGATAACTTTTATCTAACCATTGAAAAATCAGCCTATGCCTCTGAATCAATCTGACAGATTTGACAAGTCACAGCTATGTAACTCCTTCTGTAGTATACTCAATAGTTTTGATAAAATGGAATTGAATAGATAATGTTATGATTGTCATTTGTCTTTGAGTATACCTATCCTTAGTTTAAAGTCTTAGCAATTCACTTGAGAAACACAAGCCCTTTGTCAAACACAGGTGCTTTGTATAGCGTTTGTTATTCTACATCATAATTATGTAAATATTAACTAAAGATATTTTCTTCAGACAAGAAACTTGAAGAAGACAGCGAAATTATTGAAAACTAGAACTAATTTGGCTAGTTGAATTTTGATTTTTATTAAGTTTTAGTACCTACCTACAAAATACTGTACCTCATTTAAATAATTGTGATAGTAATCTTGCAATTATGAATGAATTCCATTATTACTATTCCAATCATCTAATCGAATATAACTTATATCACAATCTAACAGCGAAATAAGAATTCAATAAACGTTGTACATAAAACGCGCACGCGCCGATTTCAAAATGGCGGCTGTGTGCGAAATAATACGTGGACCGATTGTAAATATACGATTAAATAAAGTGTTATGTAATAAACTGCGTGTTTTATTTTATTGTCACAGAGAAAGTGCACTAGTTACAAATTGAGGCAACTATTATAAGTTCCTACTTATTTCTTATGCACATGACTAAATCGGAAATGAGTGAGTGCAATTTTGAGCAGTTGAGCAGCTGGTATGTGCATGAATCTTCACAGTGTGCTTACTGCTGAACAAAGGCCTCTTCTCAAGGTTTGAGCATTAATCATCACGCTTGCTCAAGGCGGCTTGGTGATTCCAAGCTTTTAATTAGAAATTATAAGTCTAGGTTTCCTTATGGTTGTTCTTCATCGTATGTCTGTGGTATCTAAATAATCATGGCAAAAATGTACATATAACTTAAAAGAAGTTACATTGGTACTTGCCAGGTTTCAAAATTGCGCGCCCGCTTCTCATGAATAAGGGTGCGGCAAGTAGGTACTAATGTCTTTTCCAAGTTACTTTCTATGATTAATTAGACACCGCACACGGTGAAGGAAAAGATCGTGAGGAAACGTGGACTAATAATTTTTCATTTCTAATTATAAGTTCGGAATCGCCAATCTGCTTTGAGTAAGCGTAATGATTAATGCTCAAACCTTCTCCGTGTGAGAAGACGCTTATGCAGCAGTGGACACTTATAGGCTGATGATGATGATGTCAACACTGAAATTACCCGTAAACTGAGTTGGCACAGAAACCAGCCTAAAATCAAGAATTGATTATTCAACTAAGTACTATTTACTCAGGACCTTTATCAACTGATATTGTACTTTGGGAAGTAATTCAATAAATTATTATTATTAAGGCGTTCACAATCTGGTAATTCAAGTGTATAGAGGAAATGTTGTGGGTGGCTGACATATCCGGCTGGGGAGCAGGCGGCCTTAGTCATACCGAGTATATAAATAAATATATTACGTTGAAGTTATTAATGAATGACATTTGTTCCTATATTGGTTTATTTTTGTGTTTTTCTTAAAAGCAGATATCTTGATATAAAGAATTAGTTTTTTTTATTTATTGTATAGCAGACGGATTACCCGATGGTAAGCAATCGGCGCCGCCCATGGACACCCGCAACACCAAAGAGTTACGAGTGCGTTGCCAGCCTTTTGGGGATAGGGGTTGGGGATATTAGGATCGGGAAGGCATAGGGGAGGGGGAGGGATTGGGCCTGCGGTAACCTCACTCACACGGCGAAACACAACGCTGTGGGTTGTTCCACGCCGGTATTCTGTGAGGCCGTGGTCCGTGGTATCACTCCGGTCGAGCCGACCCATTCGTGCCGAAGCTTGACTCTCCCACACTTCCATCACTAAGTAATGGATTGGATTCCATCACTAAGTAATTGTTTACAGTTTTATTATTTAAATGTAGGAGAGCCAGCTTGTGTCGGCCCGACCGTGACTTTACAGAAAACCTGCGTGAAAATACCACAGCGTTGTGTTTAGCCGTTTGAGTGAAGTAAGGGGAAGCCCGATCCTTGCCCTCCCTCAAAAAAATCTCCAAATCTCTTATCTCCAAAAGGTTGGCAACGGACTCGTAACTCCTCCGTCGTTGCGGGTGTCCATGGGCGTCCTAATTGCTAACACTTATAGGCTGATGATGATGATGATGATGATGTAAGCACTAAAATGAACTCGGTAATTCGTTTCTCCGATTTTGTGTCACTGTCTATAAAAGTAAAAAGCCTTTTTCAGCAGTTACACAATTATAATTAAATAAATAAAAAAAAAAATACTGTAGATCATGAAAAAAAAGAAAAACGCACAAACGTACTCTTTTTTTAATTATGCTTATTATAAGCATTGTCATGGAATACATATATTGACCACGGGCGGCGCCGATCGCTTACCATCAGGTATTCCGTCTGCTCGATTGCCTCCTATTCCATAAAAAAAGCTTCTTATATGGCATCTTAGAAGTACAAAAATCAATTTTAATTATGTATGTTGTACTGGAACTAGAGCATACTGAATGTCAATACATTGACAGCTTCGGTGTTGCATAATGTCAACGACAAAATGTCAAGTGTGAGTCGCAAGGCCGTTTTGAGATACAAGTGATCCAATTTGTGGGCCAACTCGCAATAAGTGGACTACATGGTATTTTAATTTATGTTTAAGTAGGTAATCCGTTAGATTTTAATCATAGGTACTTTAAACTTTTTTCATTATTTGGACAGGCGGACTGAGCAACTCATGATAAGTATATAATCGGCGAGGCCCATGGTATACAAGGGCAATGTTGTCTGTTTAGATATTTGGGGATTGGAGATTGATGATCGGGGATTGGGGATTGGGATAAGGCATTTGGGATTGAGATTTGTTAATTATTATAGTATGTTGGGGATTGGGGATTGGTGATTGGGTATTGGAGATTGGGGATTCGAGTAGGTGGAGGAGAGCTGGGCCTGCAGTTCTACTGCACTGAAAGCTTGCCGTTGCGGCCTTGTATCCCGGCTGGCAAGTACCAATGTGGTTACCGGAGGCTCAATCCTTCTCCTCCCCCAATCCCTCCCAAATCCCGAAATCTCCAAATCTCTAATCTCCAAACGGTCGGCAAATCACTCGTAACTCCTCTACTGTTGCGGGTGTCCATGGGCGGCGCTGATTGCTTAACATAATCTTGTTTGTTCGCCGACCTAAGATATAAAAAAAATATTAACGATTTTGATCCGAAAAACATTGCTGAGGAAGGTGGAAGTAACCAT